GTCAAAATAAGAGACTGAAATTTTCATTATTACAAAACGACGATTTAACGATTTAAAATACCCTAAAAATTCGAAAAACTAAATAATAAAGGAGTTATGGCCAAAATAAAAATTCTAAATATTCATAAATAAAAAACGACGATTTCAAAGGCCTAAAAATGCGAAAAACTCAATAATTAAGGAGTTATGGTCAAAATAAGAATACTAAATAAAAAACGACGATTTAATAAAAATCTACGATTTTAAAACACCCTAAAAATGGCAAAAAACTTGGGAATAAAGGAGTTATGGCCAAGAAAAGAAAAATGAAATTTTCATTAATAAACCTGTAAGGAAAGATCAAAAGTTGGGCGAGCCTGACTATATGATACCCTACACCACTTTGCGTATTTAGTTGAGATCCTGTAACAAAAAAAGTTTATTTTGAGAATTTATGTGAAGTAGACCATACCAACTATGAGCCTTATTCGAAAGCGTATCATGGCTTTAGGGCATTTACAATTTGGGAAACATATCCAACTCTGAATCGATTTTCAATAAATTTGACGTAGACTTTTGTGCCAAATAACATTGCTGTATAAAGCATGATATGAGGTCGATAAGAATAATATTAAAAAAGTTAAAAAAGAATCTGTTGGGTTTGCCGACTGATGTACACAATCAGTCAATGTCCGATTATATAAATATATTTTGACTTCTCTTATGGTTATTCGAATTGTTGACTCTCTATGGAGTAGGTTCCGAAGGAATGGGCCAATCTTGTCCATTTCGCATCGGACCTAAATAAATACTGCATTGGTTACTTCCTTCTTTTTATAAGTTATGACAGATAAAAGTTTTGAAATGGTGACCCTTTGTTGGTAAGGTATCAGAAGGGTATATATGTGTGAAACTTGAAGAAAGTTGTATATTTCGATTTCTTTGATCGTTTTGTTCTTTAAAACCTTGAACCCTGCATGGGAGAGGTACTAGAAGAAATCGTCCGATCTTTAACATCTTTATAATAGATCTTATATTGTTGGAAATATTGTTATGTTCCATGTCTGATGAAATCGGATGTTAATTTCGCGTTTTAATGGATATTCAAAATGTTGACCCTTTGTGAGGGAGGCACCAGAAATTGTGGCCTGATATATCCCATAGTTACACCAAACCTAAGGCCAACAAAAATATTGTGATGTTTAAAATATGAAAAGAACCGTATGCTTATTTCGGATTTTAGAAAAGTAATAATTATTCAAATTTTTGACCCGTTGTCGAAAAAATACCAGAAGGAGTGTACCGATATATCCCATCTTCACAGCTAATCTTGTGTAAGTGGAAATAATGGGATGTGTGAAATATGAAGAGAACCGAAAGCTTATTACCGATTTTATGATCGTTTTGTTTTTCAAAATCTTGAACCCTATGTGGGGGACCAGAAGAAATGTTCCGATATTTAACATCTTTATAACAGATCTTGTGTTGAAGGAAATTTTGAGATATTCCAAGTCTGATGGAATCGGATGTGAATTTCGAATTTTATGACCCTCATGGATATTCAAAATGTTGACCCTTTGTGAGGGAGGTACCAGAAGGAGTGGACCGATATATCTCATTTTCCCAGAAGATCTTGTGTTAATAGAAATAATGGGATGTGTGAAATATGAAGTGAACCGGGTGCTTATTTCCGATTTTATGATAGTTTTGTTTTTCAAAATCTTGAACCCTATGTGGGGGAGGTACCAGAAGAAATGGCCACGGAGGTATGATAAAAAATGGTGCAATCTTTACATTTCCATTGTCACACCAGACCTTGGGTTAGTAAAATTATTGGGATGTGCTACATTTGAAGATAATCGGACTCTTACATCACATTTTATAAAAGTTGTAATTATTCAAAATTTTGACCCTTTGTGGGGGAGGTACCTGATGGAGTGGACCAATATTGTCCATTTTCACACCTGGCAAAAATATTAGGATTCGCAAGGTTGGAGCAAAATCGGATCATCTTTTCTCTTTTTGTGCAATAAATTATTTTCTTTGACAATTTTGAGATTTTGTGTGGGAGGTACCAGAAGGAGTAAACCGATATATTCCATTTTCACACCAGACCATGGGTTAGTAAAATTATTGGGATGTGCTACATTTGAAGATAATCGGGCTCTTACATCACATTTTATAAAAGTTGTAATTATTCAAAATTTTGACCCTTTTGTGGTGGAGGTACCACAAGAAGTGGGCCGATATTGTCCACTTTCGTAGCTGACCTAGCACTGACGCAAATATTAGGATTTGCAAAGTTGGAGCAAAATCGGATTATCCTTTCTATTTCTGTGCAGAAAATACATTTTTTGAAAAACCGATATTGCCCATCTCCGAACTCGATCTCAGTTTGACAAAAATGTTACGATGTACCAAGCTTGGGCTAAACAGGATACTCCCTTCGAGAGTTATCGTGTGACGTCTCTAGATCGACTCTGAATCTTCTGAAACGGATTTGGTCCAAAAAGACCTAGGGTCTATGGAGATATAAAACTCTGAACCGATCCCAATAAAATGTCATTGTGTCAAATATCATTGTTATGGAGTGCATATTACGCATGTGAGTGACTTAAATCCCCAAATCGTATGAAACATATATATAGGAGCTATAGCTATATCTGAAACAATTTTCACCGAATTTGAAGTATTTGCTTTTAGGATAAATTCAGTCGCATTTGCCTCTATTCATGTTTTTTGGGTCTGATATTAGGCATTCGGTACACAATAAACTGATATCGGATAAATATATATGGGAGCTTATCTGATATCTAGTACCAAAGATCATGGTTGTGGAGTGCATATATAACAAGTAAATAAGCTGTATTCGAAAAAATTCCGGTTAATAATGTCACTAAAATCATCAAAATACCGAATATCTGGAGGTGCCGTTATACGGGGCCATACGAAGACGTGGACCTGCATAGAAAATTTTCTGTCTTGGGCTGTAGTATTCATTACGAACTTCAAATACCACATTTGAAAAAATTCCGATAATTAACGTGACTAAAATCATCAAAATACCGAATATCAGGAGGTACCGTTATATGGGGCCATACGAAGACGGGGACCTGCACAGACAATTTACTGTCTCATGCTATAGTATCCATCACATACTTCAAATACCAAATTTGAAACAATTCCGGCGAATAAAGTCGCTAAAATCATCAAAATACCGAATATCGAGAGATACCGTTATATGGGGGCTATATAAAAACGAGGATCTACATTGCCCATTTACGAACTTAATCTACTTACCGGAAAAATAAATTTTAGCTATCCATCTCAATTCATTCGAAAGATAGTGGAGTGGAGGGTATAAAAACTGCAACAAAGCCAAACGCCATAATATTTACACTTTTTTTTTAAAATTTTCTTGAATGAAAACAAAAATGTCGGAAATGGTATCAAATTTTAGAACAAGTTTAGATTTGTTCGAATTGGTCACCTTTGGCATGAATTATGGCCTTCAAACGGCCACGCTGCCCAAATGTTGCCCTGCGGTATATTGGCCCATTCCCGGCGAAGTGCTTGCTTGAGGTGATCGACACTTTGGTCTTTTTAGTGCCAACCTTGTTTTCCAAAATATTCCAGGCACAATAGTCCAACGGATTGGTATCCAGAGATTTTGGTGGCCATTGTGCGTTGGAATTAAAGGGAAGAACTTTATTTTGTAACCATTCTTGGGTGGCGCGTGCTGAGTGCGATGGTGCTGAGTCCTGTTGGAATGTCCAAGGTCTGCAGACAAAATGTTTGCGTGCCCAAGGCTTTAATACACCCTCCAGAATATTTTCGTGATAATATTTGGCATATATTCTGATGTCACGGTCGATTAATACGAGCGGAGAGCGTCCATCGTCTGTTATGGCGGCCCACACCATCACCATGGTCGGCGCATGAGTTCTGGTGGTCAACCGAAGGTGCACATTTGCAGCTGACCTCTTTAGCAAGTAAACACGATCATTTTGTTTGTTTACAAACTGTTGGACAACGAATGTTTTCTCATCGGAGACGGAGAAAACCAAATTCGGCAGTACACCACTTTCGGCCAAGCGAAGCAACCATTTTGCCCTTTTAAGTCTTTTTTCTTTCTGCTACGGTGTAAGTTCTGGCACTGTTTGGAATTTCAATGGCTTTACCCTGAGCTCATTTTTAAATTTTTGCTGAATGGAATATTGTGATATGTTCAGCTCGCGAGCTATTTTTCGTCCATTGCGACGCGGGTTTCGATTAAGTCGCTTCTTTATTTTTCCGCCCACTTCCTTCACGTCGGGCTACGCTACCAGCTACCAGTATCACGGTAACAAGCGATGGTAAGAGACACAAAAGATTTATTCACATTTAAATGATGGAGTGCTCTAACGATAGCCACTTATGGTTTTCCAGGCAAGTATAAAGAAATCTCACTATCACGCTTGAATTCCATCACGAATAACTTTTTTTCTGGAGAATTCTCAACAAAATGCTTTTGTATGCTTGTAAACAATATAATTAGCTGCCACTGGAATAATTTTAACATCTGTCCGACGAGTGGCTTAGAAGTGACAGCTGTCTGAAGTTGGTTGCAGTTTTTTCATCTCACCATGGAATATGCAAGCAATCGTTCAAAATAATACACCTGTGCATTTTGAAAATTTCAGCAACCCTATATATTTCGGTAACAGAAACTATTTTCATGTTTACCTTTTAAGATAATTAAATTCGCATAGCACATAGCCTAATCACATGGAATTGAAATTGTAAAACAACGACTTGATTCGAATGCAATTACGTTAATGGGTGTTGCTGCAATGGATGACTCGACATGGAATTTATGGTTAAAAAATCAAATGTTTGTTGCTGTTGTTAGACGATTTGAAACAGGTACCACAAAAACACAAAATTATTCGGTTTGAAATTAATTTTTGCGTAAACACGAACTTTTCAATATTGACATTGTGGATACGTGACACAGTCTTTATTTGTTTGTTCCTTCCTACCTTTTGACTCTGATATCTGTGGTGAGCTCTCGCACTTCAGCTGATGCCCGCTCATCTGTGACAAAAGGATAAACGTTGATACTTGACCGGAATGGATTAGCAATTAAACTCCAACAAATTCCCGTTATTCGAAATTTAATGTCAATACAAAATGTTTATTTTATTGTCTCTTCGGTTACTGAAAAATCGTTGCGTATGACGGGAGACTAGCCGATGAACTGTTGTCATATCGAAAAGGGTCAATGTACAAAGACCTGGGGGCCAAAACTACTCAGCTCTTGGTGTTCAGCAGCAATGAGACCAATTGAAATGCATCTTTGTGACAATTTAAATGTTTACTTGCATTTTACTAATTAAGCTTAAGAGTCATTTGCCGAACCGCCAGTGTGTGGTTGTGGATCAATAAAGCAAAAACCTGTAGAGAAGTTTGGGGGTTCTGAGACTGTTGTTTTGAGTTCGTTGTGACTTACATAAATATGTACGGATTGGTGCTGCGGAATTGTATTCTTTACAATTACAGTCGCACTTGTCGGCATCAACATTTGAATTCTTTTTATACCCTCAGCCACATGGCTAGAGAGGGTATACATATATCATTTGATACGGTCAAAACGTGCCTCATCGGAATAACGGTTTTAGGCCTTAGGTCTATTTGGACCAAATCCGTTTCAAGACATTTAGAGTCGATCTAGCGATGTCCCTACGTCCGTCCGTTTGGCTGGTGTGCTTGATAACACTCGAAAGGAATATCCGATTTAAGTCTCCTCTTGGGCCTGAAAACTTGGATTATTAAAAGATTTTTTGAATCTTCTCCTCAGGCCGATGATTTTTCAAAAAAATACATGACTTTTCTAGGATTTTTAAAATTTTTTCTTAGGTCTCGAAATGTGGATTTTTTAAACCTACATTTTTAAAACCTTTAAAAACAGCAACCAACTTCAGACTGCTGTCATTTCTAAACCACTCGTTCGACAGCTTTTAAAATTATTCCAGTGACAGCTCATTATATTGTTTACAAGCGTACAAAGGCATTTTGATGAGAATTTTCCAGAAAAAAAGTTATTCGTGATGGAATTCAAGCTTGATAGTGTGATTTCTTTATATTTGGCTGGAAAACCACAAGTGGCTATCGTTAGAGAATTCCAGTATTTAAATTTGAATAAATCTTTTGTGTCTCGTACCATCGCTCGTTACCGTGATTCTAGTAGCGTAGCCCGACGTCAAGGAAGTGGATGGAAGAAAACAGCAACATCAGCAGAAATGGTTCGAAGAGTAAAGAAGCGACTCGATCGAAACCAGTGGCCGAAAAATAGCTCGTGAGCTGAACATATCGCAATATTCCATTCGACAGATATTGAAGAATGAGCTCGGCGTAAAACCATTGAATTTCCAAAAAGTGCAAGACCTTACACAGCAACAGAAAGAAAATAGTCTCCAAAGAGCTAAAGAGTATCTTCGCTTGGCCGAAAGTGGTGAACTGCTGAATTTGGTGTTCTCTGTCTCCGATAAGAAAACATTCGTTGTCCAGCAGTTTGTAAACAAACAAAATGATCGTGTTTACTTGCCAAAGAGGGCAGCTGAAAATGTGCACGTTCGTTTGGCCACCAGAACTCAAGCGCAGGCCATAATGATGGGGTGGGCCGCCATAACAACCGATGGTCGCTCTCCGCACGTATTAATCGACCGTAGAATAAATGCCAAATATTATGGCGAAAATATTCTGGAGGGTGTATTAAAGCCTTGGACACGCAAAAAATTTGTCTGCAGACCTTGGACATTCCAACAGGACCCTACACCATCCCACTCTGCACGCGCCACCCAAGAATGGTTACAAAATGAGGTTCCTCGCTTCATTTCCAGCGCATAATGGCCACCAAAATCTCCGGATATCAACCCGTTGGACTATTGTGTCTGGAGTATTTTGGAAAGCAAGGTTTGCACAAAAAAATACCAAAGTGTCGATCACCTCAAGCAAGCGCTTCGCCGGGAATGGGCCAAAATACCGCAGAATAACATTCAGGCAGCGTGTAAAGGTTTCATTGGCCGTTTGAAGGCCAATGGTGTCAAAGGTGACCAATTCGAACAAATCTAAACTTATTCTAAAAGTTGATACTATTTCCAACATTCTTTGCTTGCGTTCAATAAAATTAAAAAAATGTAAAAAATATGGCGTTTGACCTGTATACCTTTAAAAATGAAAAAAGTAGAATTCTCCCTTTCTTGGGGTTAAAAATAGGTAGTTTTTTATATAAATACTAAATTACAATCTATTAGTTTTTAAATTCTATAATAGGGATTTAATAGGTATTTTGGAGAATTAACTTCATGAATGCAAGAAATAGCTCTTCAGGTACAATTGATACTCGGAAATTCGATGTTTACGACGGTCGGGAATATCTACAATCATTCAAATCATACAAATTGGAAACTATGATGTATAGGCATCGGGGAGCACGATGTAACGGTTACACTACCACTACTCAGGTTATCATAGGAGAACTCGATGATGGCGCTGAAGTTATTGATGCTTTTGTTGATCGGGTTGTAGACGATGAATACTTGCTCACAGGTATTCAGATCGTTTACGAGGAGTAGGTGATCAGGAATTAATTGGAGTTAGTCGCGCTATAATGCGGTCTATGACTACATCTATGTTACTACTTTAGATTTCGTTTGGAACAGCGAGTCGGAAGCTCCAGTTGGGACCTGGAGCTCGAAGCTCGTATGTCAATGTATAACCAGCCAATTGGATTAATAGAAGCCAAACCAAGAAATTTTCAATTAACCGTTCCTCTTAGTCGGACGACAGTAAATAATTGAATGAGAATTATTTCTTTTGTTAGATGTATCAAAACATGCATTTTGCTAGCCTCACAATGTTAATTTTTTGGGTATTGGGTCGAAGGGCTTGTATTTTGAAGACATTTTCAAGACACAATCAGGTCTCAAAACGTGTACCTGTCAGGACTCCAAACTCTTATTTTTAAATAAGTATTTAAGTATCCTCTTGAGTCTCAAAACGAGGATTTTTATACCCTCCACTTGGAGAGAAGAGTATATTAACTTTTTCATCCCGTTTGTAATAGCCATAATTATTCGTCGTAGACCCCATAAAGTATATAAATATATTCATAATCAGCATAAAATTCTAAGGCGATTTAACGATGTCCGTCATTTTGTCTGTCCGTCTGTCTGTTGAAATCACGATACAGCCCACATTAATTCACGTAGAGCGTCAAAATTTAGAAGAACAATTTGTATTGTGACTAGAATGGTTGGTATTGAAAATGAAATATATCGGCCCACGTTTTGGTATAGTCCCCATAAAACGGTACCTCCCAATAATCGGTATTTTAATGATTTTTGCCACGGATTTGTCTGAAAATTGAGATTTATAGGTAAAAATGGGTCATAGTTCGTGTGGCGAAACATTGTATGTAAAGGTCTACGATTTGGTATAGCCCCCATATAAAGGTACCTCCCGATATTCTGTATTTTGTTGATTTTTTCCACATTTTTTTTACGGATTTGTCTAAAAATTTGTATTTGTAGTTCGTAATGGGTTCTAGCTCCCGTGTCGAAACATTGCATGTATAGGTCCACGATTTGGTATAGTACCCTATAATGGTACCTCCCGATATTGGGTATTTGGATAGTTTTCGCCACATTTTTTCACAGATTTGTCTGAAAATTGGTATTTGTTGTTCATAATGGGTTCTAGTTCGTGTGGCGAAACATTGCATGTATAGGTCCACGATTTGGTATTTGGAATATTTTCGCCACATTTTTCAAGAAATAGGTATTTGTAGTTCATAATGGGTCCTAGTTCGTATGGCGAAACATTGCGTGTATAGGGCCTCGTTTTGGTATAGTCCGTATATAATCGTACCTCCCGTTATTCCCTATTTTGATGATTTTTGCCACATTTTCCCATTAATATGTCTAAAAATATGTATTTGTGGGTCATAATGGGTTCTAATGTTTCCTTTACTCTAAGGTGGAGGGTGTTAAAAGTTCGTCCCGGCCAAACTTAATGTTTTTTTACTTGTTAAATTCTCTTCTTAGGCCTTAAAACATGGATTCTCAAAGTCTGCACTTTCGCTGCAACACGTGAAATTTTTAAGACTCAAAATTTGAATGTTTAATATATTTCCTAAACCTGAAACGTGAAATCTTGAAATCTCCTCTAAGACCTCAACACGAGCATATTTTAAGGATACTGCTCTTTGACCACAAAATATGAATTTTTTAAAGTCTCCTCTTAGCTATCCAAGTTTCAAAATATGGGACAGATATGACTCAAAACGACGATTTTCTAACAAGCATTCAAGTATTTTGTTGGGTCTTAAAACATAAATTCTTTCAAAGATGTTGAAGTTTGGAAGGATTTGGAAACATTGTATAGTTGGGATTCGGGTCCCCTCCTAGGTCTGACAACGTGATTTTTTTAAGGAACTTTCGAAATCTTCAGCGTGATTTTTTTTTTAAATATGCAAGAAACAATTATTGAACAAGTAAAAAAGCAGAAAATTCGGCCGGGCCGAACTTTGAATACGCTCCACCATTTGTAACAAATTAGAAATTTTTCAAAAAAAAAAAAAAATAAAATCCATTAAAAATTCTGTTAAAATCTTAAAAATACCTAAAATCGGAAGGTGCCGATACATGGGGGGAGAACACAAAGAACTCCATGTGAGTATTTTCAGACAATACGATTGGAAAATTTGGCTAAAGTCATCAAAATACCGAATATCGGGGGTACCGTTATATGGGTGATATACGATATCGTGGACCTATATAGACTACTCTCTTTCAGGTACTCCTTGTATGAACACACAAGGTACTCCTTGTATGAACAATTCCGTTGAAAAATATGGCTAAAATCTTCGAAATACGGAATATCGGAGGGTACCGTTGTATGGGATATATACGATATCGTGGACCCATATAAATAATTTTCTCCTAGAGGATAATATACTCATAAGGAACTAATTGTGTGGATTTTCAAGCAATTCCATTGAAAACCAGTAAAGAAAGTCTTAAAGTCAGGCGGGGCCGACTTTATGATACCCTACACCACTTTGCTAATTTTGTAGAGATCCACATAACAATTAAAAGGTTTTATGGGAGAATTCAATCATACACACTATGATTATAATTGTAATTTGTATCTTTTAAGTTCGGACTTGTATTGCCCATTTGATGCAAAATTAATTTG